AAAAGGTTCTTTTTGCCCTCTGAAAAATTTGTGACACAAAATGTTCACACATCCAAATGTTAAATGCAATTCACATCCAGAATGTATCATCATTTGCATAGAGACTCTATTAAAACTGGAACTGTTTTGTGTATATGGCTACATAAAAATCTCAGGCATGTCAGTAGGAAATAAATCATAACAGACTGGTGGCAACAGCATTCAATTGGTTAGAGAAAATTACTTCTATTTTACTGATAACAATTTCTATTAATAAACAGTGATGCTTTATTGTCTATGTCATCATCAAAAGAGCCCATAAAAAACTCTATCAAGTTACACCCACCACCAATGTTACGTAACAGCCCTTGGCTGATGTTTTGGGAACACATTCAAAAACAACCACCACTACCATCATCAAACAAGGATACATGCCCAACTCCTTTAAAACAGTAGGAATTGAGCAGGTGGAACAGGAAGCACAGAGGAGGGAGGAAGGGGTGAGAAGCTCAGGATGAACACTCAGCTGAGCATGTCTTCGGGACACTCACACTGATCCTGGAAACTTTTGGAGACTCAAATCGACTTCAATGTCCAGTTCACAGGTAATTCCCAGCAAGCCTCTCCCTGTCCTGTTCGAGCCTATACCTACACGCTGAAGAACAGATTCCAGATCTCTATCATATCTTTGATAAGAAAAGGACACTTGTATCTTGGAAACAGTCACTCTCCTGTGGATTGGATATCAGGGTATAATAGCTTTAAGCAAAAAGATCTGCAAAGAACAATTTGATCTTCACATTTAACTCTCTAATAAGGAATTTTCCTCATTTGCTCCAAACAGAGCAAGAAAATGTAGCAAATGCTCTAAAAAAGGGTTCACATGGAGAAGGGCAGAGTATGAAGCCCAAATATGCCAGTTTGGCATAAGAATTATTATGTGCTGAAGGCAACTCACAAAAGCAGACACAAGAAACACCCTCCCCTTTCCCTCTTTCTACCAGGAAGGACAGGATGGCTCCTAATCTCAAGAGACAACTTTCCATATGGATCCAGGGATGGCATCAGAGAAATCACCTTACTAACCAGCCTTTATCTCCCATTACTTTATCCTGTCTATTTACCTTCCCATAATTTGCCATCCAGTTGTGTTCCTTCTCTAAAGAAGTTATCGTTCTTTTGTTAAGATGCTTCATAAGCCTAGGTTCTAACCAGTGCACATGTGATTAATGCGAGCCACCCATGGGCTGTGTGTGTGTGAGCTATGTGTATTTGAGCGTATGAGGGGACTGGACTGGCATTATGTGCTTCTTGGGCTGTGCAACACATGACACCTGTGTGCCTTTCCTCTGGTTCTGCCTGTGATCCCACACAGCACCTGAGATAGGTGTGGTTTCCCAAGATGTCAATCAACCTGCTGACCACAAGACATCACTAAGACTCTATCTTTGGAAACCCAAGCCCTTGCCTTATTTGGGTGGAACTTTCTTGAATGTCTTTCCCCTAAATAAAAACTGGGGTTCGGGGTACGCTCGCTCTCTTGCTCCTTGCAGCACTGGAGCTGACCCTTGGGGTCACCGAACTGTCCTGTCTTAGAAACTTATGTTTGTGAGCTGCGTGGTTTCTTCACCATTTTCAAAGTTATGGATACAGCCAGCTCCTTTGAACCCAGTTCATATTTCCAGTCCTGCCAGCTGGTGATATGTGATGCATGTGTTAACAAACCTCTCTTTACTTTTATTAATCTGTCTTTTGTCAGTCTAATTTGTAGGGTTTCAGCCAATGAACATAAAATGTGTAGAGAGAAAAAAAAATTTTTTTCTCTTATGGCAGTTACTGGACAGAGGAAGGTGTGGTTACCTGTACTTATGGCCAATATTGAAGGAAAGAGGAGTGAGGACCAATACATGAAACAGAAAGAGGTCCACGTGGCTGAACCCGAGGGTCCTCAATCCTCAAATCAGCAAAAGACTCCTATTAATATGGTGGCATTGAGGCAAAAGACATTCTGATAGGCAGAGTTTATATCTGGACTGGCCTGCTATCTTTGACTAATTCTATATTAAATGAGTTGTAAGATGATCTTATAGTCCTTATTGGGGTGCTGATACACACTGCAACAAGGTGTTATGGGCATTCTTTAATTCCTGGGAGTCAGCACATGGTCCCACATCCTGATGTCTGTCATGGATTCTTTAAGCCCTGGTGCTTACTCTTCCCTGGATGCATACACTGTGAGCACATTCTTTCTGTTCCAGCAGATTTTGTTTGCCTTGAACAGCCATTCTTGTCCACACATTTCTCCAGCTCCAGAGGAAAGGCTGCCACATTAAAGAGGCCAATGGATGCCACCTTTATCAACACTGTGCAGAGGAAAACACTATTTACAGTTTTAAACTATCTTTACTCAATAATCAACATTAGCTTGGTAGCTATCAACCACGGTCATTGACTTTCAGAACCTACCCAATGTCATGCATTACCTCAAGTCTTTTTATCTTTTACCAAATTCTAATTGCTTATGTGATAAATAATATTTTTTTTTTGCACTGAGTGGAGCGTTTGCTCCCCACCGTCAAAGAACCATGGCTCCTAACTCACAAAATAGTGTTTAAGGATCTAACTAAACCCAGAGCTAAGCTAGTGATGAACTTGACATCTAATTCTATAAATTATCCCACACTCCTATTTTGAAGACATCAACTATCTCTTTCCCTTCCTCTCTATTGCTAGATGGGTATTTAAACTTTTCGATTTTTTCACAGCCAATATTTCACAAAGAATTACCAAATGTTTATCACTGCACTAGAAGAAGATGCTGGGTGATTCAAGGGCTTCTTCTTGGCCGGGTGATTTATTCCATATACCAGTCTCACCGTATTTGCCCAAGGAAGATTCAGGGTAGTATATATCATAGAAATTTTAACATAGAAATTTTAACTCCTGACCCACTGAAGTAAACATATTTAAACCCAGTATGGTCGTGCTATCATCAATTCAAAAATGTCTCCAGGACTTTGTATGTCCATTTCAATCTTCAAAGGAGGCACAAGCTCAACTCTCTGCTTCCTTACTAATTCTAGGTCTTCAAAGAAAGCTTTTCTTCTCTGGGATGGATTTTATGACAGTCTCTATATTATCCATATAAATGAAGGAAGAGACTTCCCCTAGTCTCCACTCTCAAACTGGTCATAAATCGAGTTGATAAGTTCTCCCTTTGAACACTTTAGAGAATTATCCATTTTGTATTATAGATCATATGCTCATCGAGTAACGTGTGTATGACGTCAATACATACACCCAGGGAAGGGATGAGCACACAGGGCTTGAGGGTCTCTCCTTTCCATGTTCTCTCTCTCATACACAATCCCTTGAGAGTAGAAAGCACATTTTATTTATCTTTCTAATTTAGTGCTTTTAACAGTGATTGGGACTGTAAATAAATGTTGCTGAATAAATAAAAGTCGAATTTTCTCAAGGTTAACAGTAAAAGTCATTTTGTTTTTCATGAATTACTTCTCTGGAGATAAACGTAATTTAAACTCATATGCTGTGAATTATGTAGGAGCCAGTTATCACTACTCAAGTAGTCCAGAAAGGAAAAGGGAGGAAGATTTATTTGACTTTCAATTTGGCCATTGAGAACCAAGTTGGAGAAACTAGATTTCAAGACTGACAATTCTGTTCTCATCTCTTGGCTCTTGTGGCTCACTTGAGGGTCTCATACTCTGTATGTCATGAAGTTTCTTTAGGACCATGTGCCTTGGACTGAGAAAGAACATAGACTCCATGCAATGAAAGGGGGAACTGATTTCTTCTTTTGCTTTCAGGTAATGACCACCTGCATTGTTCCCTCTGTTTTCTAGGTTTGTCAGGGAACAATATGCTTTAGGGATTGTGAGAGACCAGGAAGGATACCCCAGCTTTTATGCAGTGTGTAAGCAAATGGCTTTCTTCTCTGTGCTCCATTTCCCCCTCTATGAAGAAAAAAAGCATAATATTTAACAACATCACCAAGCTATTGTGAGGGTTAATTAGATTTAATGGGGGAAGGGAGGAGAGTTGATTAGGTACCATTCAAATTCAAAGTGTCATTATTTTGTGACTAAAAATAACCCTGATTTAGGAATAAAATTAATTTGGAAGCTCAATCTTTGGTAATCATCTTCCTACACTTAAAAAAAAAAAAAAGCCAGAGTTTCTAATCAAAATGCCACTCTAAGCAAATCCAAGGAAGGAAAAATGGAGATCTGTGAATTTCCATTTATCTTTGAAGTAACATCCTACACAGTTCAATTCTTTCTTTTTTGTTTCTTTCCTCTTCCTTTTTATGATACAGTATATGTTGAAAGGTTAGTTTGAGGCTGGAAAAATGTAAGCAAACACAACATTTTGAACCAACATTATTTTCTTTCTTTTATGTGATGACATTTGTGAAACCCTTTATCCCTTTACAGAATCAAAAATCAATATTTTGTGGTAAAATAACTTTTCATAAATTCCATTTATGTTTATGCAAGAAATAATTTGCCAATTTGAAAGATTCTTGGTATTCCTCCAATTAGAAAAAAAAAATCCTAGATATTTAAAGGTAAGGCCGGTGGGAGGGAGAATCACCAAAATAGTAATCACTAAAATTAATATGATAGATTAAATACCTAACTGTGAAAATCCTCATGAGAAACTGAAGTTAGTACCTGAGAAAAATCTAGGTTGCTGACTAAATCTTACTAAAGAAAGAAAACATTCTTTTTAAAGGTAACAACTGGATAGTCCTGGGAAATGAAGTCATATCTGTTAGGAAAAAATACTGCACTCAAAGAGTTTTTGCTAGAGTTTGGGCTAGAAAGGAATTGTATCAATGTTTATTTATATCTTTTCAGATGAAAGGTATACTATACCCTTCAAGTGGTAGCAATGTATTGTCTAGAACATCAGGAATCATCTTCTTGACTTTAACACCATCCTATTAAAACTCCTCATAGGACTTAAGAAATGGATAAGCTAGACTGCATACTCACCAAGCAAACTTCTGATTATTCATTCGATTTCCCCGGACCCTTGAGACTGGGGACGGATGTACCCTGTGGGCAAATAAGAATAATATACTCACTGAAAATGTACATTACTGATTGCAATTGGGAAAAAAAAAATACACACACACATCTATTTTTATAAATAATCTCTTCTAGGTTTGTTTCATATATTATCCTGTAGAATTTGCTCAACTCTTAGTAAATGGATACAAATAAATTCCTGGGCCTGAAGACCTATAGGCCTTTTTTCCCTCTTTACGGATCCCAAATAATAAGGGCTTATCACAATGTTCACTGGGAAGCTCCCAAAGTGGGCTCATCAAATTTTAATGAACTCAGGCACTCATTCATTCCAAAACAGTCACTGAAGATCTAATCCTGGCCAGGTGTAAGAGTGGGTAGACTTTAGTGGGTGCCTTGCTGGGCATAGTGGTGCATGCCTGTAATCCCAGTAACTTGGGAGGCTGAGGCAGAAGGATCACAAGTTCAAAGCTCAACAATTTACTGAGGCCCTAAGCAACTTAGTGAGACCCTGTTTTAAAAAGGGCTGGGCATGTAGCTCATGGTAAAACACCCCTGGGTTCAATTCTCAGCAACTGCACCTCCTCCACTCTTTAAAAAAAAAAAAAATCGTGCGCCAGCCCTCAACAGCCCTCTTATAGATACTGTTTCCAGGAGGAGTGCACAGTTAGACAATAAAGGGTTGGGCTCAGGGGTAGAGTGGTAGCCTAGCACGTGCAAAGGCCAGGGTTCAATCCTCAGCACCACACACACACAAATAGGGACAAAGAGGCAGTCAAGTGCCCACTCTTTCAGTGGACTTCTATGGACTTCTATATTTGAAATCCTGGAAAGCAAGATAACATTATGCAAATGTCTAAGAGCAGAAACTGTGGGAATGGGTGAGGAAGGAAGGGTGAGACAAGTGTTTGTAGAAGAAAAACTTTTTGGAAGTGATGCTCTACAGCTGGGCTGTGAGGAAGGCAAAGTCACTTCCAAAGTTTAGCCAAGAAAGAAGTGCAGAATGCAAGGATCCACCAGTGTCTGGCACTGGGGTCCTGTGGGATTGGAGCTCAGAGCTCTCAGGTATCACCCCCATGGGAGCAGCTGCTGGACCTCCAACTGGCAAAACTACATGCCACCCTTCCAGTGTCCCCGCCACCAACTTCCTGCTTTGTCCCACCTTTCTTAGGATTTGTGAGATATAGTTTCTATTGTCTTCAGTCTTTAAGCTTCAAGCATTGCTTTTATTGACTAGACATGAAAGAAAGCAAACAGGGATTTTAAAGCTGGTCTGAAAGTCCACTTAGAACCACCAAGCCTCATCAGAACCCCAGTTCCTCTTGGCTGCTTAGCAAGTGGAAATCACTGTACTATTAAAACACTACAGTTCCAGCCCCTCCCAAGGCCAAAGGCAATCTTTCCCTAACCCAGCCTCGGCCCCCCAGTCAGACTGCACTTTGCACTCAGAAGGCTGATTTCTTCCAACATCCCTTATTAACATTCTTTTCCTCGCAGGCTTCTCTATGGCTGGTGCAGCTGAGCTGCTCAGCACAGATTTTCTGCTCTGCATGGGGGGAGGGGGTGTTAATTATGCAGAAAGATGGAGGGAGGCCAGACAGCCCCTCTGGTGAGCTGCCTCATTCAAGCACAGCCCACTTCCTGCTGTTTTGCAGCTACAAGGATCACCTGTTGGTATTGGCACCCTGCCAAGCTGGGGCCTAACGGAAATGACAGACTCAGCTAGAAATGAGAGCCAGCTCATATTCTACCACCCCAAGGGGGGAGAGCAGTGTGGGGGTGTGTGGGGGGGACAGACAGACAGACAGACAGACAGAGACACACTGTGTAATAAAAATGCATAAGACTTACACAAAAGGTAACAAAACTACTCTTCTGACTGCTGAAATATAACCCCCCAAATGGACATCAGAGCCAAAACAATTTCTCCCCAGATAAAGCCCGCTGACCTAAGGGAAAATGCTGGAAACCCTCTTGAACTTTACCTATACTCTCCCTGAGGTGTGGAGTCCTGTTAATAACGGTTTCAAGAACTAATCAGGCCCAAGTACTTACAGTTCTTTAATTCACCCTTTCCTTCAAACTTTTATTGCTTTAATTACTCCCTCCTTAACCCTAAAAGCACAAGGAAATTGTTTTGTTTCATCATGGTAGATTCTACCAGTTGAAGTTTGGAGATGGAAGCAATCTCTTACTGATGCTGCTTATTGCATACATCGGTGGAAAATGATATTTGATCTGTTACCAGAATTTTCTCTAGGTATTTGCATCTTTTAGAAAGATTTCATTCATCATAGATCAAGTGTCATAAATGGATAATTTTTATGCTGGCTTAGTAGTCTTAGGAAAAGAATCCCTTAGGAAAGGCTTAGGAAAAGAATTTCTGATTGTGGGTATATGACCAAATGATTGTAAGGTTTCTTGAGTTAGAAAGATGAATCAAGAAAGATTTTCCTCCTCAAAAGAAGCACATTAATAACCTGGAATTTACTTCATCCAAAAAAGGAGAGACCTCAAGGCATGCATTTCAGCTAATTTATTTTCTCAAAATGATATGCAAAGGCTTTGTAAAGCTCAGTCTTTAAATTGTGCCATGTTTTGCTATGGTCTGCCTTCTTGCCACATATAGCAGCCAGGCAGGTAGAAAAAGTCAAAACCCCAGTAGGAGAAACCACCACCTAATCTGCATGTCATGCATTATTCATGACCTCCTGATTCCTGCACCTGCATCCAGGCAGGAAGCTTGCAGGGAATGTTCATTATTCTTCTCTTAGCTTCACACAGGCTCCCTTACTGCTAAAGCCACTTTGTTCTGAAACTAAGGGTTTCAGGCCTTAGGACTAACCACTGGATATGCAAAGAAAGAACACCAGGCTGAAGACAAGGGAGACCTTGGTTGTCCTGTGACATACCGGATCATACAAAGTGCTCTACTGATAGTTCACTTCAGATAGAAATGCTTACACTTGATTTGCATTAAACAGCAGACAAGTCATACCATTAAGGGCAGGGGTACAAATTATTCTATTAATATACACTTACTCATCTGCAACATCTAGCTCTCTTGCTAAGTGTCTAAAAGTTTTTACATGTCAAAATATAAAAATGGCTCTTCCCTTGGAGTATGAACATCAAAACACCTGATTCTCAAGTCTGTGGCAACTTAAACTTAATCCTGTCACTCCAGGTAGAGAGCTTGGAGGAAGTGGTTAAGAGTGCAAACTATGTAACAGACTTCCTGGGATCGAAGCCCAGCTCTACCTTGACCAACAGTGTTATTTGGACTGGGCGAGTCACTTGACCTGTCTGGGCCTCAGTTTCCTTATCTGTACAAAGGGAGACAATACAGTCAGGTGCCACATAACAAGGCTTCATTCAATGATGGACTGTGTGTAAAGATCATAATGGAACTGAAAAATTCCTGTTTAGTGACATCACAGACATTATGATGTCTTAGCATAATGCACTACTCACATGTTTGTGGTGATACTGTACTGTGCTGCCAGTGGTATAAAAGCAGAGCTCACATACTCCCCTACAGTATATAATATTTGATAATGATAATAAATAATAATAAATAAATATATTACTGGTTTATATATTTACTGTACTATACTTTTTTTTGGGGGGGGGACCAATGATCCCAGGGGTGTTTAACCACTGAGACATATATCCCCAGTTCTTTTTTAAAAAACTTTTTATTGTTGTAGAGGGATATACAATATCTTTGTTTATTAATTATTTTGTTTTCAATGTGGTGCTGAGGATCAAACCAGTGCCGCACACATGCTAGACAAGCGCTCTGCCACTGAGCTATAGTCCCAGCCACTCTTTTTTAATTTTTGAGACAGGGTCTCGCTAAGTTGCTGAGGCTGGCCTCAAATTTGCAATCCTCTTGCCTCAGCCTCCTGAGTCACTGGGATCACAGGCTTGTGACACCAGCTGTACTGTATTTTTATCATTATTTTAAAGTGTACTTCTACTTTTTTTTTTTAAGTTTAGTAAAACATATGTGTGTTCCACTGGCAGCAGCCTTAGACATCTCCTGTTTACCAAATCCTAATTGCATCAGAAACCATGTCAATGATTAACGTGCAGCACTAGGTAAAGGTGGTAAAGTAAGCTCTCTGTTCATATAATGATGACCTGATCTAAGGATACATTTCTCTGAATGTAGCCCTGGTATTAAGGAATGCATGACTGTAATGATGCCCACTCCCCAGGACTGTGAGATTTGGATGACTTGTTAAAGTTTAGAACCATGCTTAGCACCCAGGAAGCAGGAGATGCATGCCACCTCTCACCAGCAACAGCACTGAGGGGACCACCCAGCCTCCCTCCAGGGAGGGCTGGGAAGATGAAACTGGAATATCCATCTAGTTCCAGGTGACAGATTACAAATATGTTCTATGCATCTACAACTGGAGAGGAAAAGACAAAGAGAAATGAGTACATACAGAACAAGATGATCTACAAACTATGGTTTATAAAGTATGGCTTATCTCTGGCATCTCATTTTTTGTTCTTTACTAGAAGACCTAGATTCTGTTTACTAAACAGCACAGTGTTTCAGGTGTGACCCATCAAGGGACAGTAATGAGAGCAATACAAACTTATACCTATTTACTGAGCCTTTACTATATGCTTGGTATCATGTAAAATATATTAGACACTTTTTGTGATTTATCCACATATCATCATTGTCTGCATTTTATTTTTTAAGAAAATTGGGTTGGAAGAGTTAGGCGACTTGCTAGGGTTATACGGGGCTATTGCAGAGCAAATCTGGAACTTGAATACAAGTGTGTTCTCCTCCAGCATGTCATCCAGGCTGACAGACTCCCAGATACTCCCCACCCTAGCCCAGAGGGTGTGATAACATGAATTAGCACCAGGGACTCTAATGAGAGACTTAGTGTTTATTTAAGCCCAATTGAACATTCTATCATGGAAGTAGATGGAAGGTGGCAGGCACAGTTTTCTTGAACTAAAATTGCCATAGGACTAAATATAGCCATGTGCTGTAT